CGCCACCGGAATGATGGAAACGCTGTGCTGGCTTCTGGAGCCTTTCTGGCGCAGGGATGCAGCCAGCAGCTATGAGAGCACACTGAAAACAAGGCAGAAAAGGCTTATCAGGGAGTCACAGGTCTGCGCAGGCGGGTTATCCACGGGAGAGCTGCCTTTCACCCAGCGGCCCCACAGCCCTCCCACCCCACGGGGAGAGGCAGGAATAGAGGGGTGCTCACCTCAGCGTGGGGAAAAACACAGACGGATACACAGCAGGGGGTTTGGACTGGCTTAAAGCGTGAAAAGAAGAGTTCTGGTGCAAAGATGGGCGCAAAGAACAGCCCCGCCGAGCTCCCCCCGAGCCACGCCCGCCTGCCGTGCCAGGCACAGGCGGCATCGCCGGGGCACCGAGGCTGGTGACACGGGGACCTCTCTCCCCTGGCACTGAGCCTTGCCACAGCCCGGATTTATCATCATTTCCGGAAGGATGCAGCCCTGAAATAAATCTGGAAGCYACGAGAGGAGGTTTTGCCGGTATTTCCCCAAATTCAGCTCCTGCTCAGCAGTTTGTGTCGATCCCTTCCTCAGAAATCCCAAAGTCAGCCCAAAGACTCCCCCATAAAACCTCCTTTAACCAGGAGCACGTGGCCTGAGTTTTATCCCAGGGCACAGAGTGCAGACTTCAAACCTGTCTATAAATACACAGAAACACCGAAATTTCCACGCCAGCCCCGCCGAGRGCCCCGCTGTGCCCCGGGGGAGCCGCAGGAATCTCAGCAGCAGCCCCGGCCCGAGGAGCTGCGATGGAGCAGCATCTGCCAGCCCAGGCGGGGACCGGGACAGGGGCAGAAGGTGTGGGAGAAATCAGAGAATGTGCGAATTCCTGCTGGGCAGCGGCTGGAGCAGCTCGGGGTCAGCTGGGATTGACTGCAGGGCTGGGGAATGCGAGGGCAAAGTCTGCTCTGTCCTCCCCACAAAGCCAAAGAAAGGGGAATAAAATAACCCTGGAGGTGCCAGCACACCGAGCCTGAGCTTGTGAGGACCTAGGGACTCATCGTGGGATGGATGGTTTGGGTTGGAAGGGACCTCAAAGCTCCTCCAGTTCCTGCTGTGGGCATGGAGAGGACCCTACAAAAATAACAGAAACCCCGAGSAGCTGAAATCATTAGGACAAAGGACAGACGTGGGGATGTGTCCCGGCACCACTGCACCAGGTAGCTGCTGTGTTGTCTGAACAGACTGAAAACGACTGAAAACCCAGTTAGGGCATGTGACACTGACTTAAAAGAAGGGCACAGCTGGATGCAGCTCTGTGGATCAATCTGCACAGGAAACAGGGAGAACATTAAGGCTGTAAGATATATCCCAATAAATATAATGCAGCAGCACTCTGGATGGAGCAGATGAGGACAGGATTACAGCATGGGATTACGCGACCCCATCAAGAGCCCTCCAATATTTTGCCATCTAAAGATTAGATATTCTAAAGCTTCAATGCAAAAAATAACCCTCACTAAGGAAGGCTGGAAAAGCAGCTCTGGRAAAGGGATCATTCCCAAATTCCCCTTTCTGGGGTAGCTCTGTGKGGGTATGAGAGGGCTGAAGAGGGGGCTCGGGGTTGAATCCCCCCTTGGTGTTGAACACCTTGGATGGCCTCATCTGTTACCTGACAACACCCTCAACCTGCTGGTGCTTTCAGCACTCACACCATCACCCCGTGCAGGGGAGCTCCCCARTTCCATCACAAGAGGCTGGGAAAGGGTCTCCTGTGTCCAAACCTGGCCCAGTTCCTGTGTTGTGGAAGACGGTGAGTGAGTGGCTACAGGCTGTTCCTGATTTAAACACATCTGTAATCCCTKTCCATCATCTTTTCCCTAAGCCAAAAGCCTGTTTAATCCTGTGCAGGGACAATCCCACCCCTGGGACCCTTCTCCTTCCCATATCCTGGTTTGCTGAACCCATTGGAAATGGAACGGGCAGCACCRGCCAAGGGTTTGGGTGTCAGCTCCTCACATTTCCCATCGCCATCAGGAAAGGAAAAAGAGGGTGAAAAAAGGGGAAAGCAAACATCCTGCTGAGGGCTACCTGCTGGCCACTCTTTGTACAAAAGCTTCAGTATCRCAATCCCAAATTCCCAGGTTTGAATTTGCTGTTTAACCAAAGGAAGCACGGCAAGAGGRCAGCTCTGTCCCAGGACTCAGGGAYTCGGGGGGTGCCTGCAGGACACGGGGGGCTCACACCAGGTGAGGGGGCTTGGCCAGGGGTTTGTGCTGTGGGAAGAATTCCCCCTCCTGGAACAGAACCTTAACTAATCTAAAATAGACCAAACAGGCATCCAAACCCCAGCATGGGTTAATGCAGCAGCTCCTCGGGGCTCTGTGACCTCCATAAATTCTCTCCACCCCAACATTTGCCGGCAGCACGTTCTGCAGAGCTGCCTGGGTGCTCTCACAGACACATATCCATGGATAAGATTTCCCCCCCAGGCCCTCTGAGCGCAGCTGCCCGAGCTCACAGACCCTGCTGGAATCAGGAGGGAGAAGAACGTTGGGAGGTTTCACAGTCAGAGCTTCCCAGAGCGAGGACAGACCTTGAGCCCCAGCACAGCATGYGTGAAAAGGAGCCGTGCCATGAACACCTCGTTGTTAATAAAACACCAAATTTGCTTTGTAAATGGTGTTKCAGTTGAGAGAAATCCTGCTGTCATCAGAAACGAGCCAAGCTCACGCACTGCTGCACTTCAGGGTCTTCTGTAATAGCTGTACTGAACACTGGCTGAAGCAATGAAAGGGAAAAGAACTGATCAGCCTATAAATGAACCAGCTTGTAAGTGTTTTGTAAGTGTTTCTTGTTCACAATTCATTACTTCCCACATGTAATTGAATAAATCTCAAAAAAAAGGAGGTTCTGTTGTGCTGGCTTGTGGAGAGCTGAAGAAACATCTGGGAGGCAAAACAAGAAGGAGAAGAGAAAATGTCCAAGCTCACAGCCAGAGGAGAAGAGCCCCTGTCCTTCTGGAAGAGGAAATTCCCTCTGGAAAGCAGCCGGAGCACCCCCTGCCCGAAGCAGAGCCCTCACACAGCCCCTCTCCCACGGGATAAATCTCCGGGATCCCTGGGAACRCAGTCAGTTCTGGCTGCTTCTGTCAGCTCTGACAAATGGACACACTTACAACGGACAGGGGCTCCAATCCATCAGCTTCAACAGAAATTAGGCACATGCTTTRTTTGGCCATGACTGATGGCTCTGCTGGCTGAGGATACCCCCAGAGCGAGCCAAGAAACAGCGGTGGCTGCAGGTGGGTGCAGGGAGCCCTGAGCCACAGCCACAGCCTGGGCAGCCCCAGCTACCCCACACCAGCCCCAGAATCTCTCATTTATTGCATTTTCCTAGGGCATAAAAGCTCTGTCTCCATCCAGTCTAACCCTACAGAAATGTTCTCCCCCAGCTCTCTGCAGGTTTCTCCCCGGGCTGGGCACGTTTTGGTGCAGCAGAACTCAGAGATGGGCGTTGCTGTTGGTTTTTGAGTGATGCCTGTTGGGCCAGGATCTGTTCCTGCACCAGGGCTTTGCAGGACAATCTGTGCAGGACACTTCAGACGGGATCACAACCCTCGATGGGAACACTGCGTGCCTGCAGCCAAGCTCCTCGGGGAGGACACGAGCTTTGAACGGTGTCTGCATGGACCAACGGCATGGAAAAGGCAGAATCAAGAGAAACGAGACAAACAGTGATTTTTGTGTGGCTACTGACACCRGCCTTTTCAAACACAACTGCAATGTGGGACTGGGATCATCTCAAGGAGCAATGGAATTTCTCATTACAGGGTGACAGGGTTCCAGGGCAGAAGCCCCGGTTAATGAGAGGATCTCTCTGAGGGACAGCAGCGCTCCTGCTAACCCAGGGATTACTCTGCCATGGCTCTGCTCCGGGCACAGCATCCCTGGGATGCCTTCAGACATCCCATCCCATTCGGACACTGTCCCGTTTCACCCCCCAGCACTGAGGGCTCAGTTCTCTCTCTTTTCCAGGCTGTGGAACCCCAGCTTGCTCCAAGCATGCCCAGACAGCACTGGCAGCACGGTGGCACAAAGCCCTTTGCCATTTCTCCCAGTCCTGACTCCAGAGCTGCTCTTTCACAGCCCTGCTCTTCCCTGGACATTGTGTCCAAACACCAACAAAYTTCCCCATCCAGCACTGAAAGCTGGGACACAACTGTGCTGGATCCATAAAAATACCAGCACGGTGTCTTATTTCAGTTTTAAGCTCAGAGCAGCCACGGGCAAAGATCAACCTCGTGGGAAAGCAAATATTTCAAAGAAAATTTGCTTTTATTAGAAGCACAGAGAACTTGTTGACTTTCCACACAGGATGCCATCCTTTTGAAGTGAACTTCTTCAGAAGCAAAGCTCAGTGATGATTGCTGCAGCAAGCAGAGTTATGTCTCCTTCACCCTCCAGCCCCAGTCACACCCCCTGTCCCCAGGCTGTCCCAGCTCCCTGCATGGATGATGCTCTTTCCCTTGGACACTCTTTCTAAATCCATGTATTTCCCAGCCTGAACCCAGCCAGGGTTTTGGGCTCTCTGTCCATTTGCTCCATAATGAGGGCAGAGGATTTAGGGTTCAGGGCCTGAGCTGGGAAATTCAGTGAGATTTTCCCCATGCTGGAAATGTCCAAGGCCAGGCTGGACAGGGCTTGGAGCAGCCTGGGACAGTGGAAGGTGTCCATGGCAGGGCTGAGATGAGATGGACTTTTAGATCCCTTCCAACCCAAACCATTCCGTGGTTCTGTGATTCATGTCAGAAGTTTCAAACTCAGASTTTTAAGAGAAGAGGTCATATGCATTCAGCTTCATTCAAAGTCACCCTGATTCTCTCAGTGCTCAGAAAAATCAGAGAAGTTCCTGAAGCAGCCACGGGGCTCAGACGCTGCCAGCCCACCCAGAGGTGTCCCCAGCTCCCTCCCTGAGCCCTGCCCTGCCCGGCTTTAGGGATCAGCCCCAGCAGAGCCCGGTACCTGTAGCGCATTCCCGTGCGGGCTCGGGTGGTGTCGTGCAGGGACAGCCCGTGCAGCTGCAGGAACCTCTCCAGCTCTTTCCTCTGCCGGGCCGGGCTGCTCGCCCCGGGCCAGCCGGCGGCGGGRCAATGCGGCCGCGGCCCCTCGCCCACCCTGCGGCCCCTCGGGCCCTTGGGCGGGGGGATGTCGGCACACGCCGGTTTGTAGAGGTGCATGGTCAGCGGGCAGCGCAGCCCGGAGCCATCCCCGCCCGGCTCCGCGGGGCCCCGCAGGAGCGCAGCGCTGCCGAGCGCCGCTTCTCCCGCACATTCCTTCACTATTGCCACCGGCCCCTTTTAGCCCGTGCCCAGGGTGGATTATGGCCAAGATCAGCAATCTTGTTCATTGCTGAGACCTCTCACGGACTCCAAGGGATAAGGGCTGCTGGTGGGAATAGAGCACTGACCCCATTTCCCAGGTCTTATATTTAGATAACGAGAAATATGCGCTTGGGATTCAATCCAAGGCCAATAAACATGAACCAAATTCTCTCACAGGGTGTATTTCAGGCCCTGGGCTGGCCAGATGAACGCTGCAGGCATCTCCTRCAGMTCATTAGAACATCTTGTTTTCTCAYAGCTCACTGCRAGCTCTCMCAGCTGGGGTTACCTGGTCTGGGAACTTCCCCAGCATCTGCAGCCTCACGGGGTGTGACAATTCAAATGAATTAAATTATGATTTAAACAACGATTTCACCACTGCCAAATAGCAAACAAATGGGTTCTGGTTTAAAGAATCACAGAATGGTTTGGGCTGGAAGGGACCTTAAAGATCATCTTATTCCAAACTCCCCTGCTGTGGGCAGGGACACMTGCCACTGTCCCAGGCTGCTCCAAGCCCTGTCCAACCTGGCCTTGGACACTTCCAGGGATGGTTTTTATGGTCTTCATCCCTTGCAACTGCAAGCCAGAAGGGCCACAGTGACCTTTCCTGGCCACAGCAAACAATCCTGCCAAGGTCTGGTTCATGCCACTGAGGCAGATGTCTAAGACTCTTCTATTTTAAAACTCACCCCCTTTTCAGACTGTTATTTCAGCYCCAAATACATTAGAAAAATAAGTTAAATAATCAAGTGATGGGCATATCATGAACTCAAACTAATCCTTAAATCTTTCAAAGCAGATAAAGAAAGACTGATCCCAACCCCAGAATATATTTTAAAAGCTCATAATTCAATGTCACAGAGGGGAGTTTGGCAGGGACAGCGGGATTACCCCRTTATTCCTCCTGTGCAACTGTCGGRTCAGGGCGCGGGTGGCCCTGGATGTCCCTGGGAGGGGACCCTGACTCTTCTGTGCCCAAGGAGAACAGGGGGTCCTGTTCTCACAGTGCTCACCCTGTGGTGGGCTACAGGGGGATTTCAAACCCTGCTCTTTGCAGTCCAAGGACACCCCAGAGAGGGCAGTGGGTCCCGAGGCTGTTCCTGCCATGTCCCGAGGCCGTTCCTGCCATGTCCCGAGGCCGTTCCTACCATGTCCCGAGGCTATTCCTGCAGGGATCCATGTTTTCCTCCCCACAGGGTAACTCCAAGGGCTGTACCTGTGATCTCTGCTACAGCTGCCTTTGGTTTTACCTCCTGCCAGCCCCAGCTCATCTATAATGCAAGGTGARCCAGTGCAAAGAAATATCTCTGCAAGCTTCTCTTGAGTTTTTTGGACACAAGAGTTTTACTGGTTTGGACTATCAGGGTTTGCATGGATCAGCATCTTTAGAAACTTTGTTCTCCCCAAAGTTATTCCCCGGCACTTCATCTTTATGGTGCTGTTCAAGCCCCTGGGTCCTCCATGGGCAGGTGGAGGCAGGTGGGCACCGACCCCAGAATGTGCCCCCTCCCACCCCACAGACCCCTCACGCTCCCTTCAGTGCCTGTGACCACCTCTRCATTTAACATCCACTTGCTCCTTCACTCAGTTTTATTTCCTTTTGCTTTCATTTATCCCATTCCTAATTGCTATTGTCATGACATTGTAATTCATTTCTTATCCAAGCTCATCTGCAAGAGSTCCGTTTGTGGCGGGCACTGCAGGCATCCCCATCCTGCCTGGGATTAGGGAAGATCTCGACAGATTCTCAGCCGAAATCCCGGCTGCTACCGAAGTGAGACGAAGGAAATCCCCTCCGTCCCTCCCTCCGCCGGTCCCCAGAGCCGCTCCCGGGGCGGCTCCTCGGGCTCGGGACGGCGGCACCGCGGGCAGTTCCGATTTCACCGAGGGTCTGACCCCGCACAGGAGATTAGAGACTCGCACGTCTAATTTCCACTAATACCAAGATCCCCTTATATTTTTTTAAAGGAGCAAGATCAGATTCTGGAGGCTGCGACATTTAAGACGGATGGGATGAGAGCTGCGGCGGCTGCAGGTTCCCCCTCCGGGTGGCTCCTGCCCAGGCTGAGCCCCGCCGCTGCCCAGGGGAGGGGGGACAGCGACCCTCCTGCCACCCGCACGGTCCCTGCTCCACAGCAGCAACTTCTGCACTCTCTTCAAAGGAAACTACAACCACTCGGAAACAAATTAGAAACACTGCTCAACAACCACATGCAGCTTGCGCTGAACAAGTTACGGGAATCAGGAAACAAGTTTGCAGGAAGCAAAGCATGAATAACCAGAAAAATCAGACTTTTAAAGCCAAAGATCTTTCTATTATTATTCTATTATTATTCTATTATTATTCTATTATTATTCTCTTATTATTACTATTACTATGACGATTATTATTGCTGTTGCTGCTATTATTATTATTATTATTACTACTATCAATTATTATTATTGTGACAATGCAGCCCAGCAGCAGCGTGCTCCCCGGAGCAGGGCACGTACCTGTGGGGCATGCCGGTGGTGTAGGCGATGGTGTACTCGTGGGACAGCTCGCACACGCGCAGGTACCAGTTCATCTCCAGCTCCCGCAGCAGCGCCAGGCGCCGTGCCCGCTGCTGGGGCTGCGCGGCCCGAGCCCTGCCGTCCTTGCTGCTCTCGGCCGAGCTCTTCAGGGCTCTCTCCCTGCTGCCCAGGGACAGCACCGACTGCTTCCTCAGCTTCAGCGACTCGTCGGCGCTCTTGCCCCCCACGGTCCCCGTGCGTGCCGCCAGCATTTCGCTCCTGCCTCGGTGCGAAGGCGCTGAGCCGCTGCCCTCAAATCATGGAAAGTGATTTCAGCGCGCACTTTCCTCCCTCTATAACCTCACGCCGGCCACAAAGCCGTAATTAGAGACGTGTCTGCGGGGCTTAACAGAAAGAAGAGCTGCAACCTTCTCATGGAAACATCTGTAGCGGCTCCCGMGTGCCAGCGGCGCCGCAGCCGGGGAGGACAGTCCTTAAAAACATCGCGCCGGGCACAGCCCGACACCTCAGCTGGCCCCACACGGACCAGGGCTATCGGTGGACGCTTCTGGAAAACCCGTCCGGCTCCCCAGCGCCGTAAACATCGGAGGTGAAGTCACACATGTCACCTTGAGGGCGAACAGTCGCCCACGTGGGCTGGCCCGGGCAAATTGCAGCGCTGTTCGTGCCGGCCACGGCCCCGGAGCATCCCCGGTCCCACCGCCCCGGCGGCTCCTGCCCTCCTGCTCCTCCTCCTGCAGCTCCTCGGGTCGCCCCATCCAGCAGGAGCTTCCATTCTCCGGGGATTTGTACRAATTTGGGGATTAGGTCACCCTCAGGATGAGAAGAAGGTTCCGACCGTCCCCGAGCAAACGGTGTTTGGAAAATGTACGAAAGGGCAGGCACCGGAATGGCATTAATTCCCCTCTACGATTTGAAATGTAAAAGCTGATACAGAGATTACAGCTCTAATCACAGCAGCCACTTTGGGAGCGAGGACAGAGCCTGTGCCGAGACAGAGGGCAGAGAGGAAAAACACAGGAAAAACCCCTCTAAGGCAGCGGGATTTTAAAGCCATTRCCTCAAAAGCTTTGTAATCGCCCCAAAGCAGAGCCATCCCCCCCTGCACCCCGCAGGCTCTCCCGGGGATGGGGGGTCGATGGAAGGATTCCTGCAATCATGGCACAGGGATTTTGGACTCTGGCGGTCTCTGGCCCTATGTCCCCCTCCCAGCAGGTCTGCCAGTTCCATCTCCCTTTGGAATTAGTTCTGTAAAATGTACCTCCAACAAGAGCTGGCGCTACCCAGCCTATCTAGCAGACACGGCACTAAAACATTCATTGGAAGTTTTGCACAACTGTAGAAAAATGACTCAAACTTTGAGCTGTTAAAAACAGTCCAGTTTTGTCCTGTTCCAACTTGTTTCCTTGTTTATCCTTAAACTTTTMAAGTCCTTCCCAAACCCAGTGAAACAATACACATTTCACAGGTACACACACCGAAGCCTTATAACATTCTACGGGTCCTTCCTTGTGGAAGTTGGTGATCAAAAGTGGAATAAAGTTCCTAAAGAGCCGCACAAAAGGCACATTGTTCTTCCTCAGCCTCCCGTGCTCATCGCTCCGTTAACCACAGAAACACCCCGCTGCTCCCAAAGACTGCGAGGTGTCAGTCACCTCCGAGGTGAATGAAAYGGCAGCAGCTGCTGGCGATTTGTCCCTCTCCCCGCGGGCATTGTTGGGGTAGCGCGGGCTATTGTGCCGCTCCATGTTCCCTGRCGCGGCTCTTGGGCACGGAGCGCCATCGGATATCGTGTCCGGGGCCATTCTATAGCCTGGCAAGAAAGGAGAGCMCGGCTCAGCTTATAAAAATTGCAGAACGATTGATTTCCTGAAAGCAAAGCTGCCGTGAAATATTGATACTCAGTTCCAGAGCTGTGGGCATGCAGCAGGACATGCCAGAGTAATGCACAATATTATAATGATGTATTCCTAACGTATCTGTACATTGCATAAATGCACAGAAATGTGCTTAGGAGCTCTCTACCTGCACCTTATTACAATTTATAGATCATTATTGTATCAATTATATAACATTACAGAACTTATCAATCATACAAATTATTATTTATTAAGAAATTATGTCAGGTTTTGAAAAATTCTCTGGCTCTTCTTACAACGCTTTCCAAAATCTGATTTTTATTCCAGCTGTGGTCCCGAGAATTGGACACAGAAAATGGGAAGCATCTCCTGCCGAGGGTCTCCCCTCTCCTGCCCCTCGGGTTAATCTCCCCGCCCAGAGCACTGCCCTGCACTTACAGGGAATTAAACACAACCCCGAGCTCCTGCAGYCACGGGAGGGTCCGGCAGCACTGAGGGACACAACGGCCTTAAAACATCCTTAAAACAGCCTCAAAACAGCCTTAAACCCCCGCAG